TTTTTCTCTCACGTTTTCGATTATATTATATGCACGCATAAAACACACACACAGATGCATACGATCCAACGCGCGCGCATGCACGCTCACATACAAACACACATATATACTTCTTTTACACTTTTTTTTCAATTTCCAATTTATATATCATAGTAATCTTATTTTTTTTTCTTTTTCTTGTATACAAACTTACTGCCTAAACATATAATCTAAAGTGTACTCTCTGTTCTCTCTTTTCTCTTTTTTTTTTTTTCATGATTACAAGTACATGGCGGTGGAATATTTTAATTACAGCTCGTTCTCTTTGTGTGTGTGTGTGTGTGTGTGTGTGTACATTTTTGTATATAATATTTTTAGTACATCCTTATACATGAGGTCTGACGAATCCTGAATTTTTCATATTACTTGCTAAAACGTATGACTTTTTGCTAAAATTATAATGCGAAAAAATCAGTGAAAATCGGTTGGAAGAAGAAAAGATATTTTTAATTGAATCAAATTTAGAAGATTATTAGAAAATTGTATTATTAGAAAATTATGTTTGTTTATATTCATGAGAAGAATAATTAAAAAATATATCAACGATAGAGATTTGTACGTCTATCCTATTTGTATAATCCTAAGTTTATAAAATACTTTATAGTCTATCTTATAAGCAGTAATGGATCGCCGAAACGCGTCGTCCTCCCAACGAATACGATGCTTTCGATTTTTTTCTTTTCATTTTTTCTTATAATAATGCATCACGTTCCTAATCTTAATATTGTTATGCTTCTAAATTTTCTTTCTTCATTTTACATCACTGTAAATATATTCAACCGTTTATTAGGTATAATATTTAAGATTTATAGATACTTAATATTTAATGTTTAATATTTAAAGATATAAAATATTAATAAAAGAATTAAAAACGAAAGGATGACAACAATCTAATAGATTGAATAATACTTGTGACAAAAAAATATTGGCGAAGGAAATTGAAAAAAATGGCACACTGAATAATACTAAATAAGAAAGAAGTAGTTGAGAAAATATATCAGGCAAGTCAGACAATTTGAACAAGTGTCAATTCTGTCCGAAACAATCACAGTCCGCAAGGATATTTCATATTCACGATACGGATAAATAAGAATAAAAAAGATTAAAAAACTAACTTTTAACGACGATTATTTGATTACAATATAATATATATGTATAAAAATTATTATTATAATAATAATAATAATAATAATAATAATAATAATAATAATAATGTAAACAAAGAAAATTAAAAGTACATGAAGACTAACGAAAAACGTTTATTAATATGATCAGTATTCAACGAAAGTTAAAGGGATTTAACGAAAAAAAATATGTATAAAAAAAACAATGTAAAAACGATATAAAAAACGATATAAATTTCTAAAGAATTTATGTATATAAAAGAAGAATGATTTAGTACGATTTTCCATGAAATCGTAATATATATATATATATATATATATATATATATATATATATATATATATAATAT